CTTTTCACAAGTAAGATGAACATATTATTGTTAGTATTTTGTGAATAGAATATTACTGTACTGTATTTATGTCCACCAGCTGATGTGATGTTCAGTGTAACACGGTGTTCAGCTGCAATGAAGCTGACTGAGATCTGATGACTGGAATATTTTTCTAACGAGCATACTCACTATTTCAGTAGCTTTGGTTCATTATCAACAGATATGCATCAAAACTGGAGTTTTGTTTATGTTCTAGGATATAAAAAAATAAAACTGGGGATTATAGGAAATAGAAAATAAGATTGACCTCCTTTGTACAATGTTTTTGTGTAGACACAAATCTCCTGTTTTCATTTTGAAGGTTTCCCAAAGAAAAAGATGTGAGGAAGAGGAGGAAGTATCTTTGAGGAGGATTCATCTGAGCAGTGAGGATTTTAAACAGGAGGATTTTGATCAAACTGATCAGACTGTCCGACTGAGAGATGGTGTGGTACCATCAGTTCACCCTCAAAGAGTAGGAGCATCATTATAAGTTCATTAGAGTTCATAAATTTACATATTTTATTGTCAGTCGCAAGGTGAGATATCCTGATGCATGCTCAATAATCCAGGTAGAAAAATCTAAAAAAGTTCACACGAGAAGATGAAAAAAATGGCAAGTTGGCTTTCTTGGACTGTGAGGTCTCAGTCTCTGATAGAGGACATTTGCAAACTGAGGTGTACCGCAAACCCACCCACACAGACCAGTATTTACAGTTTGACTCCCATCACCCTTTGGAGCACAAGTTAGGAGTCATCAGGACTCTGTATCACAGAGCAGACAGCGTCCCCACTAGCTCAGGAACCAGGCAGAAGGAGAAATCCCACACAAAACAGGCTCTAGAGCAATGTGGATATCCTAACTGGGCCTTCCTGAAAGCAGAGAAGAAACCCAAACATGACTGCAGTCAGCCAACAGGTGAAAAGGAGGAACCCAGACCCAGACCAGTGGTCATTCCATATGTTGAGGGAGTATCAGAGAAACTGAGACGTTTATTTTCTAAACACAACGTCCCAGTGGCTTTTAAACCCCAAAATACATTACGGCAAAGACTGGTTCATCCCAAAGATCCAGTCCCCCGGCACAAACAGAGCAATGTTGTGTATGCTGTTCAGTGTCAGGAGGGCTGTGATCAGTCTTACATCGGGGAAACTAAACAGCCACTGGCCAAAAGGATGGCCCAGCACAGAAGA